ATTTACTATATGCAACTTTACAGAAATTGGTTAAATAAAGTTAAATTAGATAAAGTTTAATAAAAGGCTTTTATTATCATAGACATAAATACAAATTCTACAATTATTTCATTTTAGCTTTGTATAATATTTAATTTCTTATTTGTAATACATAGGTGGCGTTAGTAATAAATTAAAACACACTATGGTTTCATCGTTGTAATTAGTATGAGGGTCCGCAAAAATTGTTGATTAAAAAACTTGCAACGTGAACCTTGTTTATTTCAATTAACCTCACGGACCCAAAATACAACCGCTATGAATTTGTACATGGTCCTTCGTTGCCGAATAGTCAACCAGTGAGTAGAAGGGGCAGACATTCGACTCGCCGATTCGACTTATTGAATTTCATTAATTGTAATAGAATTATTACTATCATTGATGTCGTTATTATATATTTGTGTTATTAATGGCTTATGGTAACTGAAATACGAAATATATTGTTTACATTTTAGAATTAGAATTAAAATAAACCCTTTGATTTTGCTGATCACTTTAATATAACATATATATATGTATATATATATATATATATATATATATATATATATATATATATATATATATGTATATATAGCTATGAACATACAAAGGAACTAACGCCATCTAGCGTCAACTATTAAAACCACTAAAGAATAAAGACGACATAAAACCCCCTATTCAACACTAAATGGCGTTAGAGGAACATTTTAAGATAAAAAAAGATGGCGCGTAACGGAAAAATGTTACACTAAATTTTTTTCCAACCCCGATAAAGAAGTTTCACTTCAAAAACGCATCAAGATCCTTTGCGTAATTTTAAAGATAGGGAAAACGCATACATAGGGACAAACAGACAGCGGGACGCCTTTTTCTATACTATGGCGTTTAAAAAATTGTTCCGCTTTACATTATATGACATAATATAAGTAAATGTGACAGATGTTATAGAACGTATCATACGGAAAGTGAAAGCGGTCTATAGATTTGCTATATAATTACAATTGGCGTAATTCCAGTGCCTCATTTTTGGTGCGCTAGTGTCATATTATCTACCTCATATTTGTATATAATATCATTGAAGTGTAGCGTCTTGGGAATTCCTCCATATAAACTATTTATTATTTGTTATACCACCATTTTGCCAGGTATATCAGCTATGATTTATTTATTTATTTTTGACATTGACGTCTTATATGTTTTATGACAGTGACTATGGACTTCTTAGATAATAATCTATGTATATGTATTATGTATAATTATTCATTTATAATTGTTAAAGAAGACTGTTTTCCGCTTATTTCGTATTTCTTACTAATCCTTGACAGTTCGGTGTCCCCCGGCTTTGTCTTCTTTCTAACTTATTCGTATGTATGTTATTTTGTTATTACGCGAATACTCCAAATTATTCAATCATACCTACTTATTAAAAATATATTTCGTATTTCAGTTACCATAAGCCATTAATAACACAAATATATAATAACGACATCAATGATAGTAATAATTCTATTACAATTAATGAAATTCAATAATAATCTTTGCAGCAGGCAGGCACCGCCCACCGTGACCTGACTGCGCCTTCCACCGAAGACACAATCTGAAGCTGACCGATGATGCTCTTCGAAACCTCGATCGGCTCCTGGAACTTGCGGTTGCGACGTCGATCCAACGTCCGCAAGTTCGGTTTTCCAAAAAAACTTCACTCACAACACTCGCGCGCGAGTCGAATGTCTGCCCCTTCTACTCACTGGTTGACTATTCGGCAACGAAGGACCATGTACAAATTCATAGCGGTTGTATTTTGGGTCCGTGAGGTTAATTGAAATAAACAAGGTTCACGTTGCAAGTTTTTTAATCAACAATTTTTGCGGACCCTCATACTAATTACAACGATGAAACCATAGTGTGTTTTAATTTATTACTAACGCCACCTATGTATTACAAATAAGAAATTAAATATTATACAGAGCTAAAATGAAGTAATTGTAGAATTTGTATTTATGTCTATGATAATAAAAGCCTTTTATTAAACTTTATCTAATTTAACTTTATTTAACCAATTTCTGTAAAGTTGCATATAGTAAATAATTTTTTGAAAAATAACGTCATAAAAAAGTTTCACTTCTTACGAGTGTACGCTAGTACACGCACACATTTTTTTTTACTAGATAGAGTGATTCCAGAGGAAGGCTAGAAGTTACATAGAAGATACAGTGCACCCGTGCGAAGCCGGGGCGGGCCGCTAGTCTGTTATATTAAACATCATTGCTACAACTATAATAATAATAGCTGACAGCTTGCAATCGTTGCCTTTTATCTGTCAATGTTTGATGATATTTTTTGATTGTGCAATGTAATATCGGTTAATTTAATAACCTATCTTTTGTTTCGCTAGTCACCTTATAGGTCATGATTGAAATAAAACAACAGTCATAAAGACAGTTACCCACTAATCAGTGAAACAAACAGTTTTTGGTGCACTATGAACAAAGAGAATATAACATTCGTTTGTTTGTATGCACTTGTGTAATGCAAGTTGATCCATCAATTTTATCAGTCTCAAGTGATAGCGTAATCTTTGAAAGTCAAGGCAATGCCGGCAATTCGATAACTTGTACATGTCTGAGGTTATAACAATGATTCTGCAACAATTAACCTTCGAATATTTAAGAGAGGTTAAATTAATGTTTTGGAACAAAGTTCCTGGGCGCGGCTTGCGGGAGCTATCAAACGGCAGAACTAGAAATCGCCACGTAAAGGAACAACGTTAAGCCCCTCCAAATTATTATATTATAATTAAGGATTTGAAAGGGGCCGTCGATTAATCACGTGAGGGTTGAAAGGGGGGGGGGGGGGTTGTAGTAAGACATAACTTCATATCATGGTCCTTAATTTCAGAATAAAATTACATAATAAATTATACCTTTAATAAAAGACTAAATATTCCAAAAATTTCGGATTCTTTATTGGTACAAGAAATACACGTGACTTTGAGTAGTCTTAAACCTCACCACGTATCACCAAGGGGGAGGAGGGGGTTAAAGAATGCTAAAAAAAGCATAACGTGATTAATGGACGGCCCCAAAGGGATAGAGAGAGCAAGTCGATGAGTGGCGAATTTCCTCATCGACTTGCTCTTTCTGTCACTTCTAATACACGCTCTAACTGAAATACGTGGGGTATCCAAAAATATTATGGGATAATAGGAGGACGACTCGATTACCCTATTCCTCTACTCCAGGAGTGAGCAACCATTTTAATCAATGGGCCAATTTAAATTTCAAATTTTTTTGGCGGGCCGCACATAAAAATTTACGAAAATTTATTTATAATAAATATTAGAATAAAAAAATATAAAATAAAAAAAAGTAAAGACTTCATATACAAATTTTAATGCAAAGTAAAAACAAACAAGAAAAGAACAGAAACACGAACTAAAAATGTTTCGGTTTAGTATGTACTACCATTTTATTATTATTAATTTTATAACAATATATTGATGGGAGAAATTCGATAAAATAAATTCAATTTTAGAAATGCTTGGCGGGCCGCATAAACATGTTTAAGGGGCCGCGCGTTGCTCATCCGTGCTCTACTCTATTAAATAACAGCAGGTTCAGTCAACATAGCGTCGTTTTGCCTCTTACCATCTACTCTAGACTCCTCTGTCCTGACTATATCCTACCCGGATACACCCCAAATAATTTAAAATACAAAAATCTGGCTAATTTGTTATGAATGCGTTCGGGCATAATCTTATATTTATCTTCATGTGGAGCCCATGCCTGGCCTGGCATTATGCACGAAAAGCCGAGACCTCACGTCTCCCGGAATCGTGTCCAGACGATCTAACCACTAAGTTAAACGGCTGAAATAAATTTTAATAGGGAACCCTCCTGTCCCCACGCGGCGCCATGACTGCTGCATCCTCGGTACAGCCCCGCCGAGCCGTTGAGGATAGAGAGAGTGGTCAAACGTAATACCAGCATTCCCCTTCCTCCGCAGCTCTACCTCGGTCGCAGAGGACAGGGAGATTGGCTCCATCTCTACCACCCTCAACCTGTTCCCTGCACCCTCCCTGCACGAGTTCAAAGTGGGCTCAATGAGCCCACTTGGGGTAGCCCTCGTGGAACGATCTTACACCAAATACTCAGTGTGGCTTCTCACCGTGGGTGACCGGTATAGCAACTAAATAAATAAAATAAAAATCAATTTATTGTCTCATGTTTAACTTATAACTAAACGTAATTAATTAAATTAATAAAAAAATACTAGATAATTAAACTAAACATAATTTAACTAAGCCACGACAACCCTGTCGTGGCTTAGTTAAATTATGTCGGAGGGGAAATATCAGAATGCCTTAATACAAGCCCAGTTAAAACGACGCCAACCCAGTTAATTTGTGGTGAGCCGACCTTTGAGGAAACGAAATGCCTCTCCGCCAAATCGGAGCCGACGCGCAACAAGTGCTCAAAGAAGAGGTCGGTGACCCCCCCGAAAAGACCGCCCATTCTTGAAACAGCAGAAGATAGTTCTTAGTATCCATTTAATCATTCGACGAAAATCTAATGTAAAATCTAAAGAAAGCGTTAATAGGTGCACAACCAAAAATTATACAACGAAAGTGACATTTTGAATTTTCCCGCCAAATTTTCACGAGGACATGGATCGCGAAAGGGATATCAAAAAAAAAGAGAAAATAAAATAATAACTGGCACAGTAGATTTCTTAATGTCGATAATCAAAGTCTTTCGTTGTTTAATTATTGAGACGGTTAACTGTTAGTTTACGGGACGCCGTAAGCGGGCGTAACTCGCGGCGGCTCCCAGACTGTTCCAAATATACACACAGCGTTCCTTATAATAGATCGTGGTAAATATTTCGCGTGTGGAGAGAAAAAAGCCGAGAAATCCGCGTTTGTTGTGCATCTCTTATGCGTTTTTATGCTGTGTTGATATCGTTTGGTGATCGTTGAAATGGACATACCGACGGACGTTTGGGGCCAGTTGGCCCTCGAGGCCAGTCAAGTGTATTTGACTGAAGGAGGACAAATTAGAAGTCCATTCGCCGCCACGGTAATTGTAGTTTCCATCGGAACTTCTGTAGCAACAGGATAAATAAGCTACTCAAAGCCAATGTTTCGTAAAGTTATATAATCTGTAACTCTACGTTTTTTGTTGGTTTATTATGTTCGCTTTCAGATGACCCTGTCTAAAACTAAGTCATTCTATTAAATTATGTGTTGTACAATATGTAAATGGAATAAATTAAATGCGTGATTGATAATTAGAGTATTTACTGCATTGGTTAGTTATAATCAAAATGTTTAAATCAACAGGATCTAATTGGTGATTACATAATAATTTATACCTTTAATAAAAGACTAAATATTCCAAAAATTAAATATTCACATTGCTAGCACTTTCACATTCATATATTAAACCCTTGCATCTAAATAAATAATTATTCAAATATCCGACAATAACAAGACACTTTTAATATAATTCAATAAAACTTACTCGTGATCATGAATGCAACTAAGAACTTGAAAAGTCGCTAGATAAAAACTCGCAAAATAGCTCTATCAATAAATAAATTAATTTACTTCACAAATGGAGGTTCTAAAACAAAATGACATTTAAACATTATTACACATTTGAATTTAATCGTTTAATCTTCTATAACTCGTCTAAATAAAACCTTGAAGTTTCATTCATATTTTTCGAAACTTAACTATTGGTATACGGATTCTATAAGCCTTGAATATTTGTATGTAATAATGATGGCATCTGTTTATGTTATCCCCGAATACTCTGGGCTCTTTACCTACAAACTAAGTTTTAACTGTAGTCACAACTCTTAATATTTGTAACTTTAAAAATTTCTTTTATTTTCTTAATAAATGTTAAATATTATGTTAAATATTATGTATAAATGTTAAATGGCATTGGTTCAATTAAGACATGGAAAACGTGTCTTAGATTTAGCGAGCAAACTATTTAAAAATGGAGCTCACACGAACCATAGACAAATAGCTAATTACTCTTTTATTTCATTCGCAGACCATAGAGAAGCTGCCGGATAAAGTGCTGCTCAACATATTCTCCTACCTGAGCCACCGCGAGATATGCCGCATGGCGACAGTCAGCAAGAGATGGCGGATGGTGGCATACGACACTCGTCTTTGGACGCATGTCAGTCTGCGACCCGAGATTTCCGGTTTGCACGTCGGTGAGTGTTGCCTTGAGAGAGATTTAGCGAAGCGGAGAATTGTCATTTGAGAGTTGTCATTTGTCAACTTCTTCACTTCAAAAAGGAGGTGGTACTGAGTTCGGTCGTACTTTTTGTAAGTTTAGGCGCATTATGTCTTGTAATGATAGTTGTTAGTTGATGCATAAAATAAAATAAAAAAGTAAAATTGAAGTTTTATACCCCAGAACCGATTTTATCGAGCGATTTTAAAAATTCTTTTTGAATTTAGTTTCCATGTAGTGTGGTTGTATTTCCATTGGTAGTGGTAATTTCATTGGCATAGGACCTTCGACTTCATAGGTATATCAGGGAATTTCTCAAAGTAGAAATTTATAGAAATGGGAAGTATTGTGTATATGTTGGTTCCTTCCATTACGTTTGTTTGCGTCGAAATGGCTAGATCAATTCGGTCCCGCTCATTTTTTTTTATTTTTCACTGTCGGACAGTGTCCCATTAGAAAATATTTAAGATTGTACCTATCTAATTGATAGTTTAATTAATCAACTATACTTTTCCTGTAATTATTCTATACACAATTATTATATACCTTTAATTCTTTGAATTTAAGTCTCCCCAGCATAACACCGTTCCTTTTTCATATACGGAGAGCGGAGTATTTTGCGCGTAAATAAAGGAAACGCGATAAAACATACCCAATGTTTTCCCGCCAAAAATGTACCTACAAGGCATTGCTGTCACATAAGTTGTATTATTTGTTAATTCCAGGTTCTCTCGAATCGCTCTTGGCTTTAATCTCAATAAGATTCGGCCCATCGCTACGGTACATCGAGTTGCCCATTGAGTTGATTACTCACACAGTACTCCACGAGCTGGCTGCGAAGTGTCCGAACTTGACTCACATGCTCTTGGATTTTAGTACAGGTAAGTTTATTCGCGACACTACAGATTACGTTAACCGGATAGTAACATAAAGATAGATCGTTTGTCTTCATACCCGACCGCTGGACGCAATAAATGTTTACTAGCCTATGTATGTGTCCATTTCACATCTATTTTAACCATTTTTTTATGTGAGTTGCCAAATGAGCAGATGGTTCACCTGATGTTAAGTGAATACCGCCACCCATGGACATCTGCTACACCCGAGGGTTGCAGATGCGTTGACAACCTTTTGAAAATTGGGCTCCGTCCACCTCACTCACCAGACGAAACGCGAAAGTATTATACTTCCACTTTACGCCGATCTTCTGTGAGGTCGTGGTACTTACCCGGACGAGCCCGCCCACTCGTGCAACAGCCGAGGCTGCTGCTTGGCTCTACCACAGTGATTTAAACCATACTGTGTGAAGGCCCAGAAATCTGTAGCACCAAACGAGATATCTTTAAGCATCTCTTTCTACGTTTTCCATTTTTTGACAAAGAATTTAGAAAAAAGAAGGAATAGTGATTAACACTGTGTAGTATTCCGATTTGAGAAAATTCATGTTTTCGTTGACATGGTAATAATTATGAAATATTGCGCTATTTATACCATTAATGCGTCGCTCGGTGCCTTAACGAGATGATGATGTTATAGGTTAATCTCCTCAGTTCAGTTACTTATTTACTTCTTCTTTGGATGAAGAGGAAGGAACGGATGAAGGAGTAAATACATACGTTCTTCTCGTATTTATTTACTTCTTCATCAAACGCCGTATATAAAAAAATAGCAATGGTTTTCAGCTATGCAACTTCATGACTTTTCGGAGATGCAGGCGTTCCCAACGAAGCTTCGGTACCTCTGCATCTGTCTGTCCGAAGTGATCTTCATGGAGGGCTTCATGAGGAAGATTTACAACTTTATTAATGGACTGGAGATATTGCATTTAATAGGTATCGTATGTTTAAACTTTTTAAGACGGACTTCGTTATTTTCTTTAAACATATTATATTCTAGAAAAAAACGTACTTACCTGGAGCTCTGGAACCGTTTCTTCATAGGCAACAATTTCTTACACCCGGCTAAAAAATTGTTATAAAGAAGAGTTTTTTCCCATATTAATTTTAGTAATATTTAGCTTTTCCGTAAAGAGGCAAATTTATAGTACTAATTAAATACTAATTCATTTAATTAAACATTAAGCTTTAACAATTATATAAGATAATTAATTTTAATTATAGTAAGAAATTCAAGTGTTTATTCAATAACAATAATTAAAAGTATTTTTTAACTGAACACTAATTTCACATAAGTTTAGTAAATGGACACACCAATCTTTTTTGTGTTTTATTTACGATTCAAAGCTGTATTTTGTTGATCTATTCTATTGTCATTCTATAATTGCATTGCACATTCCCTCAAGATAAATTTCTTATCAAAAATGTGGCGCACGCGTTCTTTGCCATCACTCAGCACTGACGTAAGCGTCATACGTCATGAGGCGAAAGTTTTAATTGCGCAATTTTAATAATAAACTTTTGTAATAACTAGATATATAATAGCTTTTATTGTGAAGTGAAATAATTTGTATTAATACATTTTTTTTGTTTATATTGATAATAACAGTTAATTAAGTGTATTGAAGGAACTGTAAATGGATGGGGTTAATTGTGCGTTATTAGGAAAAAACTAATGTGATTTTTTTAAATTAAAAATTGCAGAAAAAATTTAAAGTAAAAAAAATATCAGCAAAAAGTCATTTGGAGGAGCTGGGATTTGAACCCAGGACTTTCAGCATGCGAAGCAGACACTCTACCACTGAGTTACACCCCCGATGAGATTAATCGATGAAATAACTGTTCAAATTGAATGTTGTATGACAATATGTATTTATAACATATGGTGGAAAATATTATTTTACTTTTTCTTATTAAGTAAATACTTTAAATCATTTGAACTGTAAAAATAAAAATCACGGTCTTGCAAAGGTACATCGAATCATGCGCCGCTGCAATTAAATAAGAACCGGACGCTTTTCCTGTTTAATACAAAACATAAAAACACTACCACTAAATAATAAAAATAATAAGCTTATCAAAGCTGTCTATCAAAATTAAAACAACTGTATACATAGTCAATAATAGTTAAGCAATTTTACCGCTAGATGGCGTTATTACAGATCAGTCAAACTTGTCACTATGCTTAGCTGTACAAAACAATAGCGGAAAACCATTCCAAAAATTCACTTAATACGATTCAAATCTTAATAGAGTATTGGCTTCATAGAGGAGACTTCGACGAGAAGAGCACTGTATAGCTTTTCAGCCGATTTCAAAAAAAGGTTCGTAATTCGGTTATATAGTTCCATCGGTATTGGACCTAGGGATCCGGAGATGCATCAGGGAACTCCCCAAATGAAATAGAAATCAAATGGTGAGTGAGCCATAGAAGTCGGTATTGTTTTTGTTAATAGAAATGTTTTACCTGCTCTACTCAATTAGAAATCGGTTTTTATTTTTAAAAAAAAACGTTTCATACTTAATTCGAAGGCCATTGTAAGTGTAGTTCTTGTCGACCTCCGGTAACTGTTCAATGGAATTGATACCGCAGGCACATATGAGAAGGTGGAGGAGGAAGAGGAGGAGATATACGAGGTGATCAACGTGCACAAGCTGAAGTCGGCGACGCCCAATCTGCGAGTCATCAATCTCTACGGGATCAACTTCGTGGACGATTCGCACATAGACGCGTTCAGCTCAAACTGCATACAGGTGCGCGCGGAGCAGCCGCCTTACTCCCCAAATTCGATTCGAATTTGTTTTTGTTTTCGATTCGAACTCACTCTTGATTCGAACTCGATTTGAAAAGCTTACTCCCGAACCGAATCGAAACTAGAAACAAGATCGTGCGTTATCAAATCCTTTAATTGTATCCGGCCTATTATGCTAACGACAAATGTTCCATGTTTACGGTTATAACATCTTTTTTTTATATAAAATGTTAATTGTTTAATTTTTTCCGAATAATTATTCGATCTTAGTTCCAATTAGAGCCACCGCTCGATTGTGCGCTGGCGTCAGATTCGGTGGTACGAACTGTCATGAATTCGAGTCAAACTCGATTGATTCAGAACTCGAATCTGTCGGGAGTAGGCATGCAGAGGCTAAAAACAAGTATAATTTTTGACAAAAAAAAAAACCGACCTCAAACAGAAAATTAAAAACATTGCTAATACCTATAACATTCAAAGATGGCCCTCGATTTCTCTGGGATGCCAACATCATTTCCTTATCATGGTACCACCCTTGAGAAATCTCCTTTCGAACAATAAAAGAATCATCAAAATCGGTTCATAAACGACGAAGTTATTCACGAACACACATAAAAAAATATATATATACGGTCGAATTGAGAAACCTCCTTCTTTTTTGAACTCGTTACAGTTTCTTGCGTAGTTAGTTACAGTTTCTTGCGACGCTCGTGTATTTTCTTTCTTGATCGTCATTTCGGCCTGTTACCACCGCGGAACACGCCCCGGAGCGCAGATTAAAAATTGTTTTTTGCAACGGTCGTGTATCTTTTTCATCATCGTCATTTCGAACTGTTAAGACACCACCACTGCTGGATATAGGCCTCACCCACTGACTGCCACGAAGTTCGATCCTGAGCCATTTCCATTCGTACGTTTGCACAGTCACTCCATCTAGTGGGGGTTCATATAGTTTGTTTTCTTATAAGTATACATACAGTGGTAGAGCCACGCAGCAGCCTCGGCTGTTGCACGAATGGGCAGGCTCGTCCGGGTAAGTACCACGACCTCACAGAAGACCAGCGTAAAGTGGATGTATGACAAATACTTTCGCGTTTCGTCTGGTGAGTGAGGTAGCCGGAGCCCAAATTCCAAAATGGTTGTCAACGCTTCTGCAAACCCTCAGGTGTAGCAGATGTCTATGGGCGGCGGTATTCACTTAACGTCAGGTGAACCGTCTGCTCGTTTGGCAACTTGTCACATAAAAAAAAAAAGTAATAAATTAAAAAAAAATGACTACACTCATCACATGCTCAACGGTGAAGGAAAACATCGTGAGGAAATTAGAATTTTCGAAATAAGGACAAAGTAAATATTTCGAAGATAAGTCTGCCAATCTGCAGAATGGTCGCATGAACTCTGTATAAAATCTTTGAAAATATTTTTACTCTTATCATTATTACTATAACGTTATTCCGGTCTGTTTGAACTTCCTCATGATTTCTTTTAGTTGTTAAGTCAACGTGCGCCATAGACATGTGGCCTTAGTTGTAAATGTTGAGAATTTTCTATTATTACTAAATACAAAGATATTGTATGTGGGTATGTTTATCCGTACCTAAAGAATCCTTTTGAAGTTACGAATTTGTTCGTCATTTATGAATTTATAATAACCTTCGTTTCACAGCTGGAGTGTTTAGCTGTGAACTACTGCAACAAAGTCACGGGCTCCACAATGAAGACGCTCTTCCAGAGGTCTCGAAGGCTCACGTGCCTACTCATGAACGGCTGCAGTGAGTCACACGCCAGTTTTAAATTTAGCTTAATACTTCTCCACTCGCCCAGTCCTAATGATAGTGTGTAAATGTTACGTTTTTATATCAAATCGGATGGTCATATTTCAATTTCATATTTAACATAGGTAACGAATGAATCTGAGTTTCATCTGTTAGGGGTCTGACCAGGCCCCGGTGAGACAATGTTGCGTAATCAAAAGACCGCGTGTGACCGCACCCTCAGGCCTCCAGTCGGAGCACGTGATGCAGGTGGAGTGGGAGAAGTCCTCGATCCAGGAGCTGGACGTGACCGCGACCGACCTCTCCACCGAGTGCCTGATCGACATGCTCAGCCGCATCCCGAACCTCCGCTTCCTCAGCGCCGGCCAGATCAACGGCTTCAACGACTCGGTGCTCAAGGCCTGGGCCGAGGCGGGCACCGCGCGGTGAGAACGCATCGTCTGTCTCTGTCTATCATCATGTACCTCTGTTTGTCTCTTTTGGGAGTTGGCAAGCATCGCGCGGTGAGAAAGAATGCATCGTCTGTCCCTGTCTATCCCTTTGGTGAACTCGTAGCTTGAACTCGTCCAAGTAAACTGTGGTAGCACGAATGGGCAGGTCCGTCCGGGTACTTACCACGACCTCACAGAAGTGTTACACTTCTGCGTTTCGTCTGGTGATTGAGGTAGCCGGGGCCCACTTTATTAAAAGGTGGCAGTGCATTTGCAACCCTCCGGGTGTTGCAAATGTTTATGGGCGGCGTTTATTACTTAACGTTAGGTGCACCGCTGGCTCATTGCCACTGTTTCACATAAAAAAGGAACCGGGCAGGAACCTGGTGGCGCTGGACGTGGAGTCGTCGGACAACCTGACGGACGAGGCGCTGCACCGGTTCCTGTCGCGGCACGGCGGCCAGCTGTGGGCGCTGGCGCTGGCCGGCATGCCCCACATCACCGACCAGCTCTGGCAGAGCGTGCTGCAGCTGCTCACCAACGCCAAGTGAGCAGTCATTGAGCGCCCTGGCAGGGCAGCCTCTGCGTTTCGTCTGGCTACGCCGATGAGTAGACACTATAATTTGTTAATTTTTAGTGTTGGCTTATCACGTGATAAGCTCAACGGTGAAGGAAAACGTCGTGGTAGCTGCATATTTTCGAAATAATAACAAAAATATTTATTGACATTTATATATCATATAACGAAATTAACAAAAAATATTTCGAAGATTTATGTAAAGTCTGCCAATCTGCAGTGTGGTCGCGTGGTGGTGATCACCACATGAGGTGAAAGCGCCTGCTCGCTTAAACTTTTTACATAAAAATGTATAAACCAGTAAAATCTAAGTCAAAATATTCTTTCATCTTTGGTATTGTTTGAAACTGCTGATAACTATAGGATATTCCAACCTTTCAAAAGAACTTTCCGGATAAGAACCGGCAAGTTCATTTTAAAAATTTTGTAAGACATTGTAGTGTAAAATTGCTATAGCCAAAGAAACTGGTTCGCGTCACTTCATTTTATTTAGCGTCATAAGCCCTTTAAGCGATGAAATATTGGTTGTTAGAAATAATATTAAAATTGCTCTGAACACGAGAATTTAGTTATTGTAATTTAACAACTATGCTATTTTGATTGTGATTGTTCTTTACAGTGGCATATTCGCAAAATGTACGGAAAATGAACTCGTTAAATAAAGACAAAATAATATAGCCCGGAATAGTACATACTAGTACAATAATATAATATTTATTGAACAGATATTTTGGGTAATAATTTTCAAACGGCGTTTAAATTTTTAAGGCCATAATTTTTTTAAATTAAAATTCGTCGGATAAAATAATTGACGAAGCTATAGTAATAATATAAATATAGGTGCGAATTTTTCGTGTTTATACAGCGTTTCTTTACCATCGCGACAATAAATGAACACACATATAGAGGATAACTTTTTAAAATTGTATTAAAGATTTACATTCTTTAAACATCAATATTTACAGAGTTATAAAATTTTCCAAAACAAAGACTTTTAGAACACCCTTACCTATAAAAGCGTAACGTAAAGTTCATTTGTAAAGGTCACAAAGCATATGAATGGGTGGAATGAATTTAAAAGAGACAAAACATACTGTTAGAAGGAGAAGCTTGTAATACGACGCTGTGGCACCGAATGAAATAGTCTCTGAATGTATGAATCAGTCAGTTGTAGTTGTATAGGTGTTACAAATTTTGTTTCTTTTTTACTTAATTAGTTTGTTTGAAAAATATATTTTTTTAATCATGCATTTTTTTATGATTATTGGCAAATAGGGATAGACGTGTGTTCATTTATTGTCGCGGTGGTAAAGACACGCTGTATATTATCCGACATTGCTGTATCTATTTGAGAGATTCTTTCATTATTTGAAAGGTATGTTAAGTGATGACCAAATGGGCGAAGACTGTTTACGTAAACAAAAAAATTAAAACTGAATCAATTTTTGTTTAATTGGATTTCTATAATTATTCACTGACTGCAGAAATTGCTATTAATTAAACACGTTTATTTTTCATGTTCAGGATTCTCATAATGGGGACACAAGAGAGACTCGGGATAAATATTCACGTGGATCAGGTATATACATATTAGATATAGATATTTACTACATATATAGTGTATTAGATCTTATTAGATTAGCTTTACTAATATTATTATTTGTCACGTCTGTCTGGCAGACCTTTATAGACATTTTTTATTTTAGATATAGATAACTTGGTTGCACATTGCTAATTGGCTTCGGCATCGGTCGTAGTGGGTTCTATTCCCACACGGGACATTTGTCTGTGTGACCAACAGATAATACTTTCGGGTTTGGGTTTGTTCCTAAGGTGGGCTGACGGCAGGGTAGGCGGCTGGTAGAAAAAAAACGTAATTCTCATGTAGTGCAAACCCCATCTAGATGGATAGAGGATGATGAGGCATTTCATTCAAACGATCATAATAGCAATGGTCGACTTATTTGACCTTCTTAACTTAAATAAGGACAACTAAGATTTTACATAATAATTTCTTGTATTTACGCGATTACACATTATAAATGAAACTAATTTTACGGATTTATCGCGTTTATTTTTATTCAGTCTGTCCCGTGACCATGAACGCAAATTAAAATTAAAAATAAACGCGATAAATCCGTAAAATTAGTTTCATTTATAAGATTTTACACTTATATAGAAAACAATGTGTTTGAGAATAATTGTTAAATATTCCGCATCTGGATATGTGTCTCATCATCATCATCATTTGCGCCTGTTTGAGTCCACTGTTTAACATAAGCCTCCCCCACTGACTGCCACGAAGCATAGACCATTAAACTGTTATTTACGTATATGAAAGGTCGCATATGAAAGATTAATTGATAGTGGATGATAATATCTCATAATGACCTCATTAGACATAATAATATGTCAACGAGAACAGTAAAGACTCAAAGGACATTAAGTAGTAATGGAATTGTAGTCTGCTACTGTGGTAGGGCCACGCAACAGACTTCGCTGTTGCAAGAATGGGCAGTTCCGTCCGGGAAAGTACAACGAACTCGCAAAAGGCCAGCGTGAAGTGTAACACATCTGCGTGGCGAGTGAGGTAACCGGAACCCACTTTATTAAGGGTGACAACGCTTCTGCAAGCTTATGGTTGTTGCAAATGTCAATGGGCGGTGGTTATCTCTGAACGTCAGGTGATCCGTTAACTGGTTTGCCTAACGTAAAATATACGTGTGTATTTATACGTGATTTCAGTTGATGGACGGCATAGCGAACAGTTGCCCCAACCTGGAGCGGCTGGAGCTGCGCTGGGACCCTGAGAACCTGCGCTTCAGCGACAAGAGCCAGAAGGCCATCGACATCCTGCGCGTCAAGTGCCTCAAGCTCAAGTGCCTCGTCCTCAGGTCAGTGTTACCTGCTAACTAAAAAAAAGCCCCTAAAATAATGATGAAATACCCCTAAATAACCCTGAGAAATGCAACTTTCAAAAGCCCAAAGAAACCCTGTGGCTCCAGTTCGCTTACCTTCTACTTTCCCACATATAAATTCATGTAGGTACTTACACACCGTGTAGCTCAGCGAGCGCCCGTCGCCTTTAATTCAATGTACTCGAGCAACCTGAGTTCGATCCCCGGCGCCGGCACCAATGAAATTGCTAATTTCAAGTGCCGAATTATCACGTGCGATTCGAAGACATGTGAAGTCCGCCAATCCGCAGTGGGGCCGCGTGGTGGACTGTGCCCCGATACCCTCTGTACAGAGGCTGTGTTTTCCCAGCAGTGGGACATATGTAGGCTGATACTGTTTACCTTTACTCACACACGTTTTTCCTCTCTTAGCGACGGCCGCTACTACGAAATAGTGAAGGCGAACTTCGAGCGCGCCGACCGCACCACCGTGGTGCGCACTTCGACCAACTGCCGCGTCTCCAACTACTACATGCTGTCCAACTACAAGGACCTCATATTCAATTGAACCGTCGCCTTCAATAAACCGATGTTGACGTACGCTTCGCTTTTCCGTTCCCCCTCCCGTTGTCGCTGGCAACACTGCGTACCGGATATGGGGTCGCGTGAAGCAGCGGCCGCTTCCGCTCGCTTCTCGGCCGCGTTCCCGGACGGTGATGTAACCAGGCGCTGCTTGGCGTTATAACAGTTGTTAATATTCGAGTTCGGAAATAGTTAAAATGTTGGAATCAAAGTAATAACGTTTGAACTCTTATACTCCCTTTCAGGGTATTTGTTCCTATTTTTATGGGAAACTTTGGCGACAAGCGCGGTTTTTGCCGTGTGGAACTGCGTTTAGGTCTAACACGAAACAATTATCTGTGGGTCGCACAAATAGGTGTCCCGTGCGGTGATCGAACTCGCTACCCTCGGCGCCGATCACCGTGATTGTGGACCACGGAGTCATTACGCACGTCCGAGGAAGTACCACGGCCTGACAGAAGGCCGGCGTGAAGTGAAAGTGTTGCGTTTCTTCTGAGTGAGATAACCGGGGCTCTAAGATTGACTGGTAAATAATGTTGATAGCATTGAATCCGCCTTTGTACAATATTGTTTTACGTGCAATGAATAATAAGAAAAGTCTAGGGTAGGGTAACGGATAAGATTGACCTAAGTTTTCAAGTTGATACTCACGTAGGCTAAAATGACATACTTACTTGTTCTATTGTAAACTAATCTGTTTTAAAAAAGAGCAACTGTTGATTTTCTTGCCGGTTTCGTCTCAACAGAAACTGCCTTCCGAACCGGTGGTAACTTACGAACGTATTAATTTTTATGTAAAATTTTTGACATTTCATAAGAACGCGCAAGCGTCTATGTGAATAAATATATTTTTGATTTTGATTTTGTTGGCGAAGAGTTTTTGAACGACCGCGAAAGTATACTACTTCCCCTTCACGCCAATTCTGTGGTGGTACTTCCCGGATGAGTCTGCCTATTAAAGCAAAACGAAAATGTTTTTTTTTTAACAATTTTTATGGTAATTGAACATATAATTTTTAAGGCCTAAAAGTTCTTGATAACATTAATAAAGATAATAAGCTGCTTGATTTCTAACTTTACTTAATTAGTAATAACCCAAATATCACTTATCGGGTGGAATTAATTTTCTTTATGCGCTGCGTTAGTAATAAAAGAAAAATGTATGCTTTACAATTGGAAGAATCAAAGCGATTGACGCCATCTAGGAGTGAAATGCCGAAACTGTTAAAGTTTTTTAACTGATCGAGTAAGAAGAGTTCCATTCCAGGCGCTTTCAGTGGCCGCCTGCGCAGGAGGCACTTTTGCGAAATAATTTGATTCGCTCTTCTAAAGAGTATTTTCTAAATAATGATACAAAGAGTAAATTAAATATTTTGTATGATTACTAAAATTGTGCTTTTAATAACTTGGATTCCGCAAAAGGATATTGATAATACTGAAGTAAAATGTTCTCTAGCATAAACAATTCTAAATAACGGACGATTATTTCGACAATTTTTATATATCGGGGGTGTAACTCAGTGGTAGAGTGTCTGCTTCGCATGCTGAAAGTCCTGGGTTCAAATCCCAGCTCCTCCATGTTAACTTTTTTTATATGTTCTGCACCGAAGGGTTAGTCATTTATTTTTGCTTCTATTATTTAAATCTTTGGGAACAAGTACTATTTTCTCCTCGTTTGTTTATACTTCCTATAGTATTAACGTAGTTAATACGTAGTAGGACAAAAAGGTTCCTTCAAACGTGACAAAAATACCAACATTCATAATTATAATTTTTAAGCAAGCACAGTTATTAACCTAAGCGAGAAAAGGCTTCGATTAAATTTAAAAATGAGGATGCGCAGGCGTCGACCTTTACTTAATTAACCCTTTCTTTACTCAAAATGTTTAATATGAATACATATCGTAATCAAAAGACACAGAATTATGTATAATTAGTTGTTCGTAATGTACATTTTTTGGTAAAATAATTAAGAATAATTACAGCAAAATCTAAAAATTAGATCAATAAAAAATTGAGCAATTGGAAAAGCAGGGATTTGAACCTAGAACTTACAACATATGAAACAGACACTCCACCACTGAGTTAGACGCCTGATGGTTTTGTTGCCGAAAAAAATTTTCTTTCAATTTAATATTATTAATGGAAAATTACTGTAGTCCTTGTGTACTTTATTTGTATTAGGACTGTACTGTTGTGTGAAATGTTATGTCAGTTCCAATTCAAAAATTTACCCAAAACTTGAGTTTGTTACAATATTTTACTATGGCTGATGGATAGCCAAATCTTAACAATTCAGGCATTCCGCTCATAGATGGCGTTCATGGCTTAGGTTCTTTGACCTTAAATATAATATGGCAAAATATAATAGGGCAATGAAAGCAAAAAAATACAAAACCTCACCCAGGTTGTTGCGATCTCCTGGGTGGTAAAGAAGTAAGAATTGGTTCAGCTGTTTCTGATATTACCAATAATAAAAAACCCTAATTATTTATTATATTTCTACATTATTATGTTCTCAAAATAGGCAATTCAGCTACTTTTTAACCTTAAAGTAGGACTCCTTATAAAACATACGAGATATGTACTGTTGTTTTCTTAGTTAATGTATTTGATCGTATTCTGGAATACTTAAAGTTAAAAATTCATATATCTTCATGCTCCTATTGATTTCCCATTCCTTTCCGGAAGTTTTTTTTTAATCATTGCCCTTACTTTAGGATTTCATTATCCTTTATTGTAAGGACGTTTTACAAACATAAATTTCACGGGGGCAAACAGATGCGAAACAACCGTCTGTGGGTCACACGAATCGTTGTCCCCTGTGGGAATCGAACCCGCGACCCCGAACGCCGAAGCCAATACCTTGGCAACTGCGCCACGGAGTCACCCATTTTCTGCATTTCATCTAGTGAGTGAGGTCAGTTTATTAAAAGGTGGCAACGCATCTGCAACCCTATGGGTGTTGCAAATGTTCACGGGCAGCGGTTATCACTTAACATCAGTTGAACAGCCAGCTCACTGGCCACCTGTCACATAAATAAAAAGTTCCGTCACTACTTTCCACATATATAATTAACAAATATGCCTAAAATATTAAGTCGATTGCTTGGAAAAAGTGTCACTTTTTTCCTGTTGACTTACAGTTTTAGAAGTTTTTAATTTAAATATCAACACATAACTAAGATTTTTTTACATTTTTCTGATATTTGACTTGGTGGAAATATTTTGACTTGGTCTATCACGCGCTTACGGCTTGACGTTAACGTCTGGGCCGTTTTGTATTCCAGTGTAGGCAGAATAATATGGAATGCACACGGTAAATGGAGTTTTCTCGATAAGCGAAATTAAAACAACTGTATCTCGCTCCACAAACCCTTTTAATGACATTTAAATGTTATTCGCTCACTATCTGATTAAACTTCATGAGTTTTTACATGTTTCTATCATCTGCATACAATGGTAGCTTTGCATAAAAGAAAGAAACTACTACGTCAATGAAGAATAATTATGTTTAAAAACGCGGATTCGAGTTGTGAACCTTGAGGAACACTAGACACGAAGAAAGACAGAATGGGACGAAGATTTATATTATATACATTAGCCTTAACCCAAGCACGCTCTTCAAAGCTTTTGCATGACACTTAAAAAATGTATTAAATAAAAATTTAATTAATTTTAAAAATTAAATTAAATTAAAAAGACAAATTAAGGAATTTGAATATATTGTTTTACTAAAAAAAATCAAATATTATGGGTCGCAGTTTATTGCTAGTTCTAATTCTGTTAATGTGGCTGGTGGATCCTTTAGTTCAGGTTTCCGAAAAAGTAGGTGTGAAATAAATATGTGAAATCTAAATGACAAATTCGCCACGGCGATCCTTGATGTTCCATGTGTTTCCTTTAGTTGTCTTATAATGTAGTTTCAACATGAACCTTTACCATTTAAAATATAAAATGAATTCAGCAAAAAAGATAAATATGGTTATATTCTAAAGATGCTTTAAAAATAGTGAAAGATAAAGGTTGAATATGAGAAAAACTACGATTAATAAAGAGATTATCAAGCCTCTACTAATATGGTTCATTCCGAAAAAAAAAAATGGTACATTAAATGCAGTTAATTTTAGCGAATAAATAACCATTTATACATATATTACACGAGAGGTCCTTGAGCGCATTTTTATAGACTGTTATTGAAGTCATATTTATTTTGGCTAATGCCTACTTCAGGGTGTAGGCCCTACACCCTGAAGTTAGCTAGACATCTGCGTATGTTTGCGTGAGATCTGACAACTGATTCACGATATTTGTTTTGTGATATTTAAATAAACTTTATTTAACTAGATAATGCGTTACAATAAAACTTTCAATGTAATAAATACCTTTTATCTATTGTTAGTGTCGCTTTTTCAACAAACGTAGAATAAGGCGAAAGATAAAATTTTTGAAGAGATGTTTATCTTGTTACGCCAAAGAAGTATAACTTCTGACGTGTGTACATAAGTACACACACTTTCATTTTTACCCAGCGCTTTTTCAATAAAGAAATTGTTGTTAAATAACTATATTACGTATTTTATCGCGTTTAATTAGAATTTTAAATAGTTTCGAATTCTTTTACTTTCCGTGACCATGAACGCTGGAAAGGGTTCGAAACGTCAGTAATTTAAAAATCTAATTTAACGCGATAATATCCGTAAAATAGTTTCGTTTAACAATATATAACATTCACGTAAAATCAAGAAATCAAAGAAATTGTTTTAAGGAAATTTAATCTTTTAACGTCGCATAGCACTGAATTATGTTTTTTCAACTTACATTACGTTCGGAGTAATTGGAAAAGTTCAACAATCATTGTGTTCACGCTTTGAATATAAAATGCTTTTTTATCATTGTTCGTGGTGACCTAGTGGTCTAGATTCCAGGTCTTTTTGAAATTTTAAGATCGGTATAAATCAAACTCATTTGCGTCTTCTTTTTCTTTTCAGCAGACTTTTTTTGCACCACGTCCAAAAAATTACAGATGTGCAAATTATCGCAGTTGTTGTAATAATTTTTCGTAATTTATAATTACATACATAATACAAATAACGGTGTTAAAACGAATAAAACAAGACATCCTACTAATATAATAGTTTATTTACAGTTCAATGAGAAAATTACCATTTTTATAGATTTTCTTCATCCGTCGTCACTCATCACGTGGTTTCAAAAAAATATGAAAAGCTATTTCTAAATGACTATTTACAAATAGCTTTATATGAATGCAATACTAATATACTATCGTTGACGTATCATTCGTCGAGGCGTGTTATGCGAGTGGCGGATTATTTATGGATTTTATTAAAACATTGAAAATTTAATAAAAAAAAAAGCTCAACATCCACGGCTCACAAATATAGTAACGGCATAGACGGAGACTAAGCGGTACTACAGACTTAAGAACTAACGCCACGTACGAGAAGAGACCGGCTCGTATGCGAGACGAGCACTACGACATCACAAATCACAGGCGTCCAACTGGGTCGTAATTAAAAGAGAAAATAACTTACTATACAACATTAAGGATTAACCACTGACAGAATTCGATACTCTAGGCTCGTTTGTTTAATGTAGGTTGCGCTCTGGGCGGCCGTCCAGTCACCTGACGTCATCGCCGAGCAGCAGGTCCGGTTCCTCCTCCAGGAGCAGGTTCTGGTTGTTGCTGTTCTCCTCGTTGCCCGCCTCCGAGTTGTTGTCCTTGCCCGGGTCGCTGTCGATCCTGTACAGTATGTCGTGGCAGAGCGGGCAGCGGTCCTGCACGTACAGCCACTTCCTGAGGCACACGCCGTGGAAGTAGTGGTTGCAGCGGGTGATCTTCGCCGAGTGCATCTCCTGGTAGCATATCGCGCACACGTCGTCCAAACGGTCGAGCTGGTCGGCGGACGCCTCCCGCAGCGAGTTGATCTTGTTGACGGCGGTGCGCCTCTTCATGAAGACGGACCAGCCGGCGCGCGCCTCGCACCAGATGTTGAAGTAAGCGTGTATGCACATCATCACCGCCCTGATCGCGCCGCCCGACTCGAAGAGCAGTATCCACGCGCCGTTGAAGAAGAGGAATATGCCGAAGCAGAACTCGATAGTGTTGCCGAAGGCGCGTATGTAGTACACGTAGTCGTCGAGCTGCTCCCAGAAGGTGGTGCGGCACGCGTCGATGAGGAACAGCGAGTAGATCATCAGGCTCACTACCACCTTCACGATCACCTCGATGCTGAACGCGCTGACCGCCAGGAGCCAGGTGGATATCGAGTGCTGCGACCAGAGGTAGACGAGCAACGAGATGGGGAATATGATGAGGAAAGCGCACACGCCGAGCGCGCGCACGTGCCTATGGGTGCTGGGGTTGTGCGAGGCGCTGAGCGACATCAGCATCGGGTTGACGATGTTGTGCAAGAAGTGGAGTAGGGCTGTGAACAGCAGGCAGAAGTTCCGGCACAGGCGGACGAATCTCTTCTCCGGGTTCAGCGATGTCAGACCGGTCTGCAGTGCCAGTATGTAGAACAGTATAGCGGACACCGTGCCGATGCTCTTGTCCTCCTCCTCCTCTGTCAACAAAATCCACTGGAAGAAGTTGCCGATGTAGTGACAGAAGAAGGATATGACCGACGTCATTCCGAGCACCGCCGTTATGGTCTCGCAGCCTGTCACCAGCAGCGACTTGGCCATGGAGGCGAGCGATGGACGGCTAGAAGGGTTGACACCTTCAACACCTCGTCCGTGTCGTCGTCGTAGCTGTCCATGAGGAGAGCGATAGCGTGCTCGGCCACGCGCAGCACCCAGAACACTCTGAGCACGCAGGGTACGTTCAGGCGCATCCATTCCGTCTCGACCAAGGCGGAGAGGCCGTAGTTGCTGACGAACAGCCGCCCGTGCTGGTAGCCAGTGTAGATCACGTGCACGATCGTGTAGGCGGATGTCCAGATGACGAACTTGACGAGGATGAGCGGCAGGAGGGAGGCGAAGACGGGCGAGTGGTGGAGGAGGTTCGGCGCAACGGGCAGCATCGCGAGGAAAGAAGGCGCCATGAAACTGAGCGGCAGCAGCTTCTGTATGAACTGGTTACGCGGCCCGAGGTGGACATTCTTGAAGAGGAACGCGAGCCCGAACTGGATGACGAAGTTCTGTATCACTAAGATCCCGGGGCCGTCCAGGTCGAGGAGGCTCTTTAGGTTGAGGTTCAGAATGTCTTCGAGGATGCTGGTGTAGGGGTGGGTGGCGGAGGCGGCCTGCGTCAGCGCTTGGATCTGCTTGATCGCGGAGACATTGGTCCAGTAGGAGACGAAGACTATACCGAGGGAGATGAGGTATAAGTACACGATGATCAGGTGCTTGGTGTACAGCACAAACACGCAGAGCGAGGACATGCATCCTAGAAAGAAAAGAAGGAAGAATTTAAATAACTTCGTCATCTACGGTAGCTTCAGTATCGGGTAATTATCAACAAATAAAGAAATAAATAATAATAATAATAAAGCTTTATTGAAACAAATAGTAGAGAACAAAAACATCATTTACAGTATTAAACACAATAAGTACGTTTACAAATCCTATTCACATTTGCATATAATTTTTACCTGCACTAGGTTAGCAACCAGTCTCGCAGGTGTCAAATTGTTAATCTAGGATCATTTAATTAATTAAGTTGCAAAAAGTACGTGTGTATTTATATATATTTATAAGTTTATTATTATGTATATAAGTGTATTATTATGTACAACAGAAGTGTAATATGTTGATATTGTTTTGTATAGTGTGCGTGGTGGAGTCATTTTGCTGACCTTAGTAAGTCTTTTGTCTGCTGATAATTCAATTGTAGTAAGTATTCTTGTAACTTTTTTTATAGGCAAATTGGTTCAAATAAAATATATAGAGAGTCTTGTGGAGGTCATTGGATAGACATCGTGCCAGAAAACAATAAAAGCGATGACAAAAAACAACGTAACAAAAATAATAGAACAATTATTTTACATAAAAAATGACAACAAAAAAAGTGAAAAGTCATTGTTGTATTTCTGATCTTTAAAATAGAGTTATCGATCAACGTAAAACGTTTGCATTGAACGGTTATCTAAAAATTTTCAAAATCAATTCATCACCTCAAAGCAGGAAAAAGAGACAGATGACCTTTCCGTGATCACCTTAATGTTATTAAAATTTATAAGTAATTATGACACTGATGCCCGGTTTCTGAAAAACTGATGAACACGTCTGAGATTTGAACTAATCAGCCGTCAAATGGCATTTCAAGTTCCATTTTAGTTACCAAAAGGATGGTTAAGGCGCTGTATGCAGTGAATTTTTAACTACCTATTTGGGTGGTGAAGTAAGAGGTAGAGGAGGAGGGGTAACGCCGCTTGGCGGAGCGCACCGCGCGAATTTCGTCGACGCGCCGCTAGACCGCGTCATTCATTACCGAGTGTGTGTGTAGTGATGGGCCGTAGGATACCATCGATAGTAGCATGGAAGGCTTTCGAAAATGTACGCAGATGATCCCTATAATATCTTTTATAGACCATGATGGTATTTTACTTTTATAATAGGAATAATAATAAACAAACAAATATAAAGTATGAGAATGCTTTCTCGACAATTTTAGAAAATCTTCTTCTTGTTTATTATTTTTTTTTTAATTAAATGGAAAAGGAATTGATTAAAAATACATCTTAAAGTCAAATAAATTAATAAAGTCAAATTACTTATAATTATTATTTTTTGTTTTTATGGTTTAGATTGTGATTTTAAAGAAATGGCTCATAAAATTTTTGCAGAAATTATTATTATTACAACTTTTTTTTTAATATATAAGGAATTTTAATTTATCCTTTAAATGTTCAAGATTTACTAAGTTATATTACTTTTTCAACTAAAATGAAATTTAAAAAACTATCGATAAAATCCTTATTTGTATCGATAAACGACAACAATTATAAGTAGAATCGAAATTTGCACAGACCTCGCGTAGCCTGTTGATCCGAGCGTCATACACAACGGTAAACTATTGCTGTAGGTCCAAGTTCAAACCACTCATCGAGTGGAGTTGTATTTTTTATATTATTTTCACTTTTAATTTGTTAGCCAAATAATTATTTTGTTTTTATTTTATAAAATGGCTCAATTTGGGAAATAAACAAATTATAAAAAAAAATTATAAAATAATTATATAAATTAATTAAAATTATTAAATTAATAAAAAAAATAGATGACGTTAAAAAAATTTAATAAGTAAAGTTGGTTTATTTACTGATAGATTGTTCTCCAACTGTTTCAACTTTGAACAAATACAATAATATTTCGTTGTAATTATTTATGAAAATAATAAAATGAACAATAATTAAATGGTAATTAAGAAATACTTCCAAATAAGAAAAGCAACAATAGGTACAACAAAAAATTTAGGGATTTGAACCCAATCCATAAAGAATGATGGTCCTATAAACTGTATGTATAGGACTGATAGACCACTCAATCACGAGATAATTTATAAATACGAAATATGTGAATATATATTTTTTAGTTTCGTGTTTTCGAAGGTCTAATAAAATTAAAACTCTCAATAATAAATAAATACGAAACATATTTCGTAACGGTGAGCGGGCGATGAGCGGCATAGGTCCTAATTTTAGTGAATTAAATTAATATTTACAAATATCTTACTTCAATCAACAAATTAAGACAATAGTCCTTTTTATTAATATATTCTACACCACTGATATTTGGATAATGGATTAAGATTTGTTCATTTATTATGTCTATTTTTTATTTGAATTTCACGTTTAGAGGTAAGTTCGTGATTTTTTTCTATCGAGAAAACATATCGAGAATATGTTTTGAAAACATGGTCCATTAGAATGTAAGATCAAGATTAACATATTTTTTTTTGCTTCTATAACATGTATAGATTTTGTTAAAAAATCTTTTGAAAAACCTATTTTTACTGCATACAGCGCTTTAAGCTCTCTGATTTGACCATAACGACCTTCTTAATTATCAGAATGATCAATTCAAAGAGTTTATCCATCCTTTTGGCGACTCAAATGACATTTTAAAATCCATCTGACAGCTAATTAGTTGACATCTACGATGATCAGTTTTCAGAAACCGGGCGTGATTGTTTTAAATTTTCCATTTCCTCTCTCTTCGAGGTGAAATTATCAAAATATTACGTTAATTATTCTATGGACAAGTAGGTTTCGCATGTTTTTACGTAGAAAACTTATAGTCACGAACGAAGAGTCCTTTGAGCGATTTACCTTATTAGATAGTACAAGGATTAATTATAAAATTAGAAACCAAGTTAAGAATAAGACAATCAAAATAATCGATCGCTAACAAAGGTAGAGTGTTAGGTTAGGTCTATTCCCACCCTCAATCAAGAAAAATAGAAAAAGGATGCGTTAATGAGCGAAGGATCAATTCTTAAAATTAGCTTCGAACATTAATACTCCGCTAGAAGAATAAAATAATTTAATCATAGTTTATGTCTAATAGAAGTCTCCGAGTGGGACCGTTAATTCAGTTCCTAAATAAACATGATGATTCGATTAAAGCACTCATCACTCGTATTTATTTGAAGATTGGGGGAATGAAAAAATTACTGATAGCGTCTGTCGAAGGCGATGGGTGACGTCACTTCGTGACAAATCGTGGCACGATGCATATAGAATTTATTTTTCGAGTTATCAATATTGACTTGCACATTCTGTAAATAATTGGCAAGTCATCGCCTTAAGTATTTTACTGTGGTAGGGCACCACGCTACAGTTTTCGCTGCTGCACGAATGGTCAGGTCCGTCTGGGTAAGTATCACGACCTCACAGAATAGCGGTGTGAAGAGGAAGTATTATACTTTTGCGTTTTGTCTAGTGAGTACATCTGCAACCCTACGGGACGTTTTAAATATCAATGGGTTATGGTTAAAACTTAACATCAGGTGAACCGCCAGCTCGTTTGCCACCGTCACACATAAAAAAGTAAAGTTCTAAAGTTAAATAATAAGTGAATTTACAAAAATATAAAAGCGATATAATAGTTTAAAATGTACAAGCTCTCCGCTCACTTGATCCTAATGCGGTAATAAAAACATGGATGCCATATTGCGTGTCATCTCGTCAGGCTACCCTATGGAGGTTGACGCATCCATTGGAGGTGGTAAATGCCACCTTCGCACATCATAAACAACGGATGCGTTCCATCCTGAGATGTCACGTTTTACCCGTCAAGGTTAGAGAGTTTAGAGCTCGTATATTGCAAACTAAGGTTGGGTTGTGCAAACAGATGATTAAGAATGTTTCTGTAATGTACAGCATCATAAGCATCTTTAAAAGGTAAATGGCATATAAGCATATAACGAGTAGCATATCGCGAGTATAAGCAAACTTTTAACTTGCACTTGCTGACTTTTTGTTTGCGTTTTTCTTAGAGAGGCGTTCTATCGGGTAACAAGGTTAAATAAAACTATTTAACGTATATCATCGCGTTTTAATTAAATTTTTGAATTCACCACGTTTAGAACCCTTTCCAGCGTTCATGGTAACGGGATAGACAACGTAAAAACAAGAAATCAATATTGGTAACTAAGAGCAGCGGCTATAATCTAGCATTAAAAGAAGAAAATAAAACCGGCAAGAACGAGCGTGTCTTTCTATTTAAATTAAAATAGCTGTTCCTTGCGATTTCAACCTAGTAAGGTTTCTGCTTCGCCTCCGTAGGGTGTAGCGTGATGTCAAATACCGTAGAGTCATCCTCAAGAATTGTGCTATCGTGTGCAAAGATTTTTTCAAATCCGACTGGTAATTCTTAAGATCAGTGCCTTCAAACAAACAAACAAATGTACTCTTCGGCTTTATTACATTAGTACAAATGTTACAGTTCTGCACGATTCACGGGGAAGCTAGTGGATACATTTCAATACATTTTTCTAAGTTTTATTTCTTTGACACTCGTCTAATAAGAAAATTATTGTTTTATCTTCATTAATTTAAATGTAAATTTATTAGGGTTTAAAGAAACAACGATTTTATAAGCATTGCGTGTTCAGTGATGTGTTTTATTGCCGTGCTAGATAAAATAATTTACTAATAAATAATAAGCAATCGCAGACGAAGTCGCGGGTATCAGTTAGTATATTATATTTCCAAAGAGCAGGTAAGGGCAAATGACATCTCTGATAACCCATTATTTAGGCTTTACTTACTCTTTACTTTATTAGAGCTTCGGCCAATGTTGAATATCTCTAAATTTATTTATAATCTTTTCATTCACCGCAGCGCACTTTACAAGTCAGCACTTAAAATTAACAATTTCATTGGTTGTTCAGAGTACATTGATTTTAAAGCGAGCGCTCGGACACTGAGCTACGGATTGTCACGG